TTTGATTTAGACCAAAGTTTTTTATTTTTTATTCTAAGTTAGCGTTTCGTGTGAAATGCGCGCGTATTGAGTTTAAATTAGTTTTTAGAAGATTGCAGCGCCGCTATACGGTGAAATACGCAATATACTTCCTACGATTCTCGAATGTAATCGATATTTTTCATAATCGATTTTTAAGCGGGAGAGCAGACCTTTAATGGCGGAAAGAAGCACGTCTCGTCTATAAAAAAAGAAGTGTCATCCAGAAAAATCATCCAGAAGTTCTCTCAGGTAAAAAATTTAAATCAATAGTTGTTACATATGTGTTATCTAACATATTTTTGTTAAAAACTCCCTTTTAATCAGTTTTATTTTCAGGAAATTTTTGTGACCGCGCGCAATGCGGTTGGTAGAGTCAGTGTTTGTTGCACAATATTTTAATATTTTTCTAAGCAAAATGGCTCCAGTTGAATTAAATTATTAATTCATTTATATTATAATTCGCGAAGTTAGAATCAGTGAATCCGCCATTTCTTAAATACGCGCGTTGATAGTCTTTTATTTTTCTTTTTTTTTTCATATTTTTTTTTATTCAACGTTCGTTTTCGTTATATCAGAGTTAGTGCTCAAGAGGATAAGGCTTCTTCAGGAGATTAAGATCGTAAGTAATTTTACATATTGTACTTCAGTTTACTCAATTTTTCAAATTTGACAATGAAGTATAATGTTTGACGTTTTGTTACAGACGCTTCACAGCATCAACTGTTTGGTATATTTTGGGGAAAATCCAACGATGGCTCCAAAGCCAAGAATGTAAGAATCTTTCATTATTTCGAACTTAAGATTCTGCTTTGCTTATACAAATTCTAATGTTTTATATGCTTTATATTTTGTTACAGATTCTCTACAGTCTCCAATTCTCCTTATTCTCTAAAATCTTACGATGCTTCAAAACCTAGGATGTAAGTACTTTAGCACATTGTGAGAATTAATTCTATTCTCTACAGTTCTTTTTCCATTGAAGTCTAATGTAAAATTATAACTACAAAATGAAAACATTTGATATTATTTTTTTCATTAGTAAAATTTAAATTTTCACAAATAACACTGTGTCTTTGTGTCTTTTCAAGAAACTTTTTACGCCGTTCACTTCCACCGTGGGATTCCAGGTAGTATCTGGCTTAATAAGGATCTTCACGACAACTTTCCTTTGTCCAGTGCTGATGATATCGTTCTTTGCGAGTTCA